TAGCACAGTATTGTTTGGAACCGGGGAACCAGCAACTTTGACAACTTCACCAGTATATTACACTTTGGTACTCTATACAGAGCATCAATAGAACGAGATAGCGATTTGTTGCAACTCGCCAAGTGTAGGACAAGAGAGAGAGAGAGAGAGAGAGAGAGAACCACAATACAATAACAAACAGAATATACTCCATTGCATCCAACAGTATCCTACATGTACATACATCTATTTCGTATTTTACTTTGTTATACTTGAATTCTGAATACTGAATTGTCATTGTTTCTCCTTTTTATACCAGGTCCAAGATGTAAAACAGATTTATTTCTGATCTTGTGTACCTGTATAAATAAATATGTATGAATATCATCATCATTATTTGTGGGCGATTCTGACAGACTGAGTGGATCTTTTTTTGTATAATACAAATGTTGCATCGTATTAGGGGGAGGGGCTGGATATGAATGCTCTTTGTAGGTGCACTCTATATTCAATTAGAATGGGGTCAGGCCTAGTGTGGAGACTTTTTTTTTTACCAAAACAAAGATTACAAAACTTTGCAACGCCAGAACAAATTGAACAGCACAGGGGCATAAGGGAATTTGAGTAAAGAATCAAACAAATTATTATTATTATTAATATCATATTATTATTTATTATCATTATCATCATCACTGTCATCGACATCATTACTATCATCATTCTCTTCACCATCATCTTCATCATCATTATTTGGGGGTGATTCTGGCTGACTCAGTGGATCTTTTTTTAAAGAGATTACAGTAAAGCATCAAACAAAGAACATTGGATAGTCCCTAGTCCGTTGGACCAGGCGCGCTGGAAGCAGTTTGGGATTGGGGGAGGGGGGGGGGGGCAAACATTCCAGGGGGCTCACCTTCCAGGGGCAGTGACGTAATGAGACAAAAACGTTCGGAAGGGGGGGGGGCAGACGAAAAATCTGCATCACCATCATTCTTACACGTTACATGCAGGTCCCGCGGAACGTTTTTTCAAAGAGGAGTATTAACGATCAGGTAGAGCGTAAATTGGCGTGGGGTCCAGGGCATGAGCCTCGTCAGGGGGTCAAGGGGCTGAGCCCCCAGAAGCTCAGGGTTTTTTAGGTATTTACTTACGGTTAAATGAGCATCCAGGGGCCCTATTTAAGGCCATTGACGTGTTTCAGGGAGGGGGAGAACCCACAGAAGCTCAGAGGTTTTAATATTTAACTACGGTCGGATGAGCATCCATGCAGGGGCCGCCTTAGGCCCCTTGGTGGGGTCCAGGGGGCATAACCCCCGGAAGCTTGGGGTTTTTAGATATTAATGACGGTCAGATGAGCATCATGGTGGCAGAGACCCCGGAAGCTCAGGCGTTTAAGGTATTTAATTACGGTCAGAAGAGCATCCAGGAGACCGCCTTTGGGCCCTTGGTGGGGTCCGGGGGACGGAGCCCCGTAAGCTCTGGGGTTTTAGGCATTTAATAACGGTCAGATGAGCCATTATTTATACCTTATTTGTGACATTGGCAGGTCACTTATTTTTTCTCTCCGTCTTTCCTTCTTTTTCTCTTTAACATACTTTTTCAAAAAGTGAGGGGGTGGGGGGGGGGGGGGCTGGGGGCTCGAGCCCAGCCACTTTGCAGACCATGACATAAATGCTTCTAAATAAGCGTATTTTTCGCCCGACTGTAATTTGGGAATTTCTTATTTTCCAACAAACGCATAAAAAGGTATGACTTACCAAAAAATGGAGAAACTAGATGGAATTTTGACTGCGCGCAGTCGAAAATGATGCCTCCGCCATAGAGCAATTTAAACAAGTTTGGAGTTTAAATCTCCAGTGGTTCTTGAGATATCATGATAACAATCTCAATGTATGGAATTTCATAAGTTGACCTCTGTGACCCTTGACCTTTGACCTACGTGCTCCAAAATCTAATCAGATTGTCTTCCTATGGTGATACACACTATCATTAAGTTTGAAGTTTAAATCTCCAGTGGTTCTTGGGATATTATGATATGGTGATACATACTATCATTAAGTTTGAAGTGAAAATTCTCCAGTGGTTCTTGAGATATCGCGATAACAATCTCAATGTATGGAATTTCATAAGTTGACCTCTGTGACCCTTGACCTTTGACCTACATGCTCCAAAATCTAATCAGATTGTCTTCCTATGGTGATACACATTATCATTAAGTTTGAAGTTTAAATCTCCAGTGGTTCTTGAGATATTATGATAACAATCTCAATGTATGGAATTTCATAAGTTGACCTCTGTGACCCTTGACCTTTGACCTACGTGCTCCAAAATCTAATCAGATCGTCTTCCTATGGTGATACATACTATCCTTAAGTTTGAAGTTTTTACATCTCCAGTGGTTCTTGAGATATCATGATAACAATCTCAATGTATGGAATTTCATAAGTTTACCTCTATGACCCTTGACCTTTGACCTACGTGCTCCAAAATGTAATCAGATTGTTTTCCTATAGTGATACACACTATCACTAAGTTTGAAGTTTAAATCTCCAGTGGTTCTTGAGATATCATGATAACAATCTCAATGTATGGAATTTCATAAGTTGACCTCTGTGACCCTTGACCTTTGACATACGTGCTCCAAAATCTAATCAGATCGTCTTCCTATGGTGATACATACTATCCTTAAGTTTGAAGTTTAAATCTCAAATGGTTCTTGAGATATCGCGCTAACAAACTCAATACAAGGAATTTCATAAGTTGACCTCTGTGACCTGTGACCTTTGACCTACGTACTCCAAAATCTAATCAGATCGTCTTCCTATGGTGATAAATACTATTCCCGAGTCTTAAGTTTAAATTTTAAATGGTTCTTGAGATATTGTGATAACGGTCAAACGGGACGGACGTACGGACGGACGTACGGACGGACGTACAGACGTACGGACGGACAACCCGAAAACATGATGCCTCCGGCACCACCTTCGGTGGCGGAGGCATAAAAATACCGGAAAATCATGTCATAACAGCAACATTTTTAAATCACTGGTATCGAATAATAAATACAACCCCCCATCAGTACGCCATGCCTTCTCACCCCTATAACAAACAAAAAACATTCTCGCACAATATGTCGACGATATGCGCGTATCGCTATTATAAAGACCTCCATTGATAAATACCGTATAGGTGGCATGCGCAATGTTTATGAAATTTAATTCCTGTGAACTTTACTTTTCTTTGAATGGAATTGTATATGTGATTTAATTCAGGTTTTTATAATTTGTATGTTCTTTTGGGTTAAGAATACAAACCATGTTTACTCCTTTACTGCTTTTTTTTTTTTTTGAGGGGGGGGGGGGCGTTTTTGGGGGCAAAATGCGTTTTGCCCCCCCTGGGGGGGGGGGGCAACTACCCCCTCCCACTTTCGGCGCCTATGCGTTGGACCATATCAGTGTTCCAATTGTGAAGCAGATATGTTACGTCAATGATTTTAAAAACAATAATTACTGTATCATAAACAATGTTATCATAGTAAAAAAATTGTGTTTTATTGTTCATTACTTTCTCAGAGTAATAATTTGTTGTTTAGTTTATTTACTAATCCATTTCACAACTGACATATAACATTAATTATACTATATCATACATGTGGTACATAGCGCTTATACAGATATACACAAATAATGAAATAAGATGTTACCCGTGAAGTTGAAATATATATTGTTCTTACCTAATTTCAATAATTGATTGTGGCAATACAATCTATTCTTGAAAGATATAATTGCAATCTTCCCAGAACTTTACCGATCAATCTAAAGAGTCATAAAGATCGATTTATAAGGTTCTGAGAAGATATGAACTTTATCTATCAAGAATAAATCATATTCTCACAATCATGTCATTAAAAGAGTTAGGCAAAAATTATTCCAACGTTCTGGCCAACAACGTACAATGATGAATCACGAGTGCATCATGCAATAGATTAAGGCCTGCTGCAGATGACGAGCCAAAACCACTGCTGTGTTTTATGATGGAAATTGTAAACGCTGCATCACATTTCTCTATCTTATATCACAAAACTCAGTGAATACACGCATGACCTCTTTTGCGGGCAGTTGCCATTCATTTACACTTTAAAAATAAATCCTGGAGCTTTTCTTTTTTGGGGGGCCTCACTTAACATCAGGGTTGGCTATTTCCCGGGATATACTGGGAAATATCAGGAAATATCTGGGAAATTGTATACTATGAAAAAGGAAAAATCGCAATGTGAATTGCTTTTTGGTGTTTAATAATAATTCTTGCTCAATAATCTCAACATCCTGAGATTTATCAAAGCCAATGCTTGGACCGCTACGTTGGTTTTGCATTTGTCGTAAGTTTGATCAAGATCATCCAAGATATATTTATATACCTGGTAGATTTTATATGCTAAGGTATCGGTACGTATATAGTCCTTCCATAGGAATGACCAACTTTTTTCACTTATGCCTAATAATACTTTTCCAGTCTCAATAAAGTGATCAAAGAATTTCACAGTGTACAAAGTTAAAGCCTTCCGTCTCTGATTGACGAGAGGCTGCAGCAGCTAGATCCAAAGCTTTTTTTAGTGGCACCTTGAAATTTATTGGCACATGCGCCCTACTCTTATGACACACACTATGTCAAAGTCCTGCAAGAACTCTCAAGATTGAAGGAAGCAGACTACACCAAAGAAGAAGAAGAAGAAGGAGGAGGAGGAGGATGAGGAGGAGAAGGAGGAGGAAGAGGAGGAGGAGGAGAGAAGAAGAAGAAGAAGAAGAAGAAGAAGAAGAAGAAGGAGAAGAAGAAGAAAGAGAAGAAGAAGAAGAAGAAGAAGAAGAAGAAGAAGAAGAAGAAGAAGAAGAAGAAAAAGAAGAAAAAGAAGAAAAAGAAAAAGAAGAAGGAGAAGAAGAAGAGGAAGAGGAAGAGGAGGAGGAAGAAGAAGAAGGACGGGGAGAAGATGAAGAAGAAGAAGAAGAAAAAGAAGAAGAAAAAGAAGAAAAAGAAAAAAAAGAAAAAGAAGAAGGAGAAGAAGAAGAGGAAGAGGAGGAAGAAGAAGAAGAAGAAAAAGAAGAAGAATTTCCTCCATGACACTTCTGTGGAGCAGCGCAAGTGTTGTTAACCTGTTGACTACCGGTTTTGAATTCTCTCATTCCCATTGGCTTTACTACATGGATCGACCTGTTCACATAGCCAGTGAGAAACTTCCATCGTTGTGAGGCCGGAATGCTTCAAGAAGAAATGCCAACATACCCCTCTCTTCTCAGAATATCACACTGTTTAACACACACAACAAAATCTGACATTGTTTCTGGAGTCCACTGGGGCATAGTTACATCACTTGGTTCGTAGTTGGTTCTCTCGGTTCGTACTGGACAGCCTCATGTAAAGAGGATTGGCTCTCGGGCAGTTGGAGGTCAGACAACACATGCAACAAAATCTCTTCTCTGACATTTTCCGTGACAGAGTCCAATGAGGCAGAGTCACATCACGAGGAGGTATCCCTAGAGCGGATTTGTCTTTGGCCTCCTTTCCTCTTCTTAAAAGACGCACTCCCCGGTGCTTCCCTTGAGCTCGCCTTGATACTCCCGACCACCTTCTCTTGTATTTTCAGTTTTTCTCTCGGTTCGTACTGTACAGCCTGGGGTACGTAGGAGCTCATGTAAAGTGGGTTGGCTTCAGGCAGTTGAAGGTCAGGCACTCTGAGTCATGGAAAGAATGGTTGATTTAATCATTTTTTCGTTTATTTGTGTACCCTATACATTGTTTGTTGTGATAACAATATATGAATATTTATTGTCGATGCATGTAGAAAATATGATACATACAAAGGAGCTGATGTAAAAAGGGCTGGAATCAAGTCTTAGTGGTCGCCTGTCTGAAGTGGCCATGTCTTTTGTCTACCTCAAGGTATAGAGTGTTGGATTCAGGCTGTTGAGGATCTAGGGCCCGTTCCTAGAAACCGTGATAAGTCTAACTTCTTGACTACCCCATTGAAACGTGTGTTATAGAATTAACACGCGTTTCAATGGGATAGTCAAGAAGTTAGACTTATGACGGTTTCTAGGAACGGGCCCCAGGTTCTCTGTGTCACTAACAAATTGTTTGCATATGTTTACTTATTGATTTCTGTATCACCATTGAGGATATATATTTGTATTACCATAAACAATAAATAAAGTGATGATCATTTGTACAAAAACAGAAATGAAAGGGAAATGACTTACTCCTCAGGTCCAGTGGAAACAGATGACCATCCACCATACGCATGATCAGTCGTTCTTTTGGTTCCTCTCGACTTGCTCTTTGCATCCTCCCCATCCTCACTGTCTTCATCGGAATCAGAATCTGTCTTCTCTCCAGCCTGGCAGATGAAAAGATGGGGTAATTATATTGGAAAGTATTTATTGAAAACAAATCTCATTCATAATAACAATAGTACATGATATTAATAATAGTAATAATAACATGTTCTTATAAACATAGAATATGTATAATTCAAAATATAGTGTAATAGTTAACTCGTCAGCAATACAAAAAAAGTTAACAAAATATCTGCCATTTCTTATTATGAAGATTGAGACGATTTTTCTTGAAAACAATTATACGTTCCATATTTTCTAAATGTTTGAGAGCTCGTTGAAAAGAAGGAAATAGTGGAATAACGTTTTGCATTTTACAAGTGAATATAAAATATTTTGCAAAAATAATAACTGTATTTGATGAAATAAAAATTATTGATTATAAGAGTACAAAAAAAATATTCTTCATCTGTGAACAAAACATTTCGTATGTTCTTTTCTTTTAACCATACAAATATAACATTCCAGAAAGATCGTATTTTTTCACAATTTAAAAGATGGGGTAATTACATTGAAAACACATTATATTGAGGACATTGGCACCATGAAAATAACCTTGTTTTCCTATCCTATCCTGGAGTCTTCTCCCAGCACAGAGGTTGATTGCACCATTCCCCCACACATCTCTGTTATCTGCCATTCTAGTGCACCCGTGCAGCATCATTCCACTCCAGAGGGTGTTCACAAAGATCCTAAGTTGAACTTAACTCTAAGTTGGACTTAAAGGCATCGTTTAACAATGTTAAATCTGAGATGCATGGCCCTACATGGTATCAGTGTCTGTGATATGGTGTAATATTGAAGCCCTAAAAGAAATTGCGCTTCAAAATGATCAAGAAGTGCCTCAAAAAGGTAAAAATCTTTGAGTGACCGGTTTTACCATACTTGTTTTCCCAATAGACTGTAGTGTTATGAAAACCATTTGGCAAACGGTTTTCAAAATTTGTAATTGAAATCATAAATATCTTTATAATCAGACAGGCGATCGGCTTGTAAAGGTCATGGGGTTCCTGACTGACCTAAAGGTATATAATTATCATTGTAGCATGAGCTAAATCCAGAATTTTGTATCAGAATCTGAGACAAAGTTACCGGATCCCTTTAAAATAAAATATATTCAAAAGCAAAAATTCAAGGATTTTACACTGTTTTATAAATTCCACATAAAAAACAAGAAATCTCCTTGATAATAGAAATTATGAATGATTCAAATCAACATTTTATGCCTTTTAAAATAACTTTTGCAAAATAGCAGCTTTCCATAATTGTTTAGTCCAACTTAGAGATAAGTTCAACTTAGAATCTTAGTGAAACACCCCCCCCCCCCCCCTGGTCTTTATGTTCTCCTCCCAGTTTGTTCTCAGCTTCCCTCTTGGTCTAGTACCATCTACTTTTACTTCTAACAAATTTGTTGAGAGACCCTGATGTCTCTCTTATTATTTTGTATCAGGGTTTTAAAAAATATAAAGATATATACATCAGGTATCTTGTTATTTTAGAGCTTTTTAGAATGAGTTTCTATTCATTATCAGTGCTACTGTCAACACTGATTTTCTCTGACCTTGTTTGGACAAAAGATAGCTATGCAGACGTAGTACATAATACCATTTTTCTTCTGTCAACGTGAGTGTTGATTCCAGGCCCGTTGATGATGGGAATAACTTTTTTGAATGGTTAACCTATGAGAGCATGAATACCTACCTTTCCTTTTGAAGAACTTTTGTCTTTTGATGAGGTGAAGTTTGCTGGTTTTTCCCACTGGGTCTCTGCATTGTAAGAACAGTTGACGGGGATTTGAAGAGAAACAAAGCGAGGTGATGAGAGGGTAGTTATGTGATGCAGAGAGAGACATATTGAGAGAGAGAGAGAGGGTGAGTATGACAACAGGAGAGTGAGAATGACAAAAAGAGAAAGAATTTGAACGAGAGAGAGAAAGAGAGAGAGAGGGTAAAAGGGGGGGGGGGGTGTGCAGGAGATGAAGAGACACAGAGAGAGAACAGAAGAGAGAGGGAGAGAGAGAAGAATGGAGTGAGGAAACAACAGAGAACATGTTAACATGTATGGATTTCACAAGCACGGCCAAGATGTCGTGGACGAGCCGCCATAGCATACTCCAATGTTCATCAACATTTGAATGGCCAGATGCCCCATTTTTGCAAGTTTCTTTCAGACTCATTCATTGTTAAATGGCTATGCTCACTCATGTATAAATGAGATGATTCCAATTGCATATCACCTTAAAGAGAATTAAGTCATGTTTATTTTGATATATGAAAGTTTATGTTATGAAAGCTTATATTCAATTGTTATTTGAAAATCTCAACTATAAATAATGTCCACTTTCTTTTTTTTTGTCTCTTTGGAAAAGCAGCCACAAGAAAACAAAGTGGGCTACATGTATACAGGCTTTACTAAACAGATTAACACCTACCTGCTGTCTTGGTGTTCCAGTAGTAAGTGTGTCCCTCTGGGCTAACTGCTTTCACCCATTCCTGCGTCTCAGTGCTGGGTGTGGCTGAAGACGAGGGTGTGGTCTCCTGGGTATCTGACGAGGGCATGGTCTCCGTGGTACCTGACATCCCCGCTGACGTCCCCCCTGACGGGCCTGGCTGGTATCTGCTCCCCTGTAGAGCTGTTGGGTCCCCTTTAATAAGGAAACATGTTTGAAATGTGGAGAGACCAATATATGAACCTTCAAAGATTTCACTACAGTTAAAATACATGTGTGCTAAGTAGTGTGCTTAGCAGAGTGGCTCACCATGCAGAGCATCTGATCTTGGACCTAAAGGTCGGTACCATTGTGGATATGTGTCAAGCAAGTGTATCGAAGCCCATCTTGCATGTACATCTTCGAACCCCACAAAAAACCCAAAACAGACTTGGGTTCTGCACAGGCTACATTCTGGCACAGGTGCATACAGGCACTATGAATTATAGTCGCAAATCTTTTTTTTTGTGAATTGAGAACATATTCGAACTTGCAATATCCCTTTGTTATTTTAATAATAATAATAATGAAATATTCATTTATGTAGTGCTCTCACACAATGGGTTCACAGTGCTTTACATGGTATAAAGGTGGGAAAATCGGTTAACAAATTATGTCTTGAAGTGCTTGAAGGTTGAGTTCTGGGAAGAGGTGACAAATAATTTGTGAGCGTTATCATTGTGCTATGCAAGTGCGGAAGAACATCAGATAAAACATGTTCCCTGAAAAACATGGTCTTTCAAATGCATTAATATTCTAAATATGGCATGTAACATCATCAAAATCAGGACGGATTTTTTCGCCACGTGTTCGTTTAATCTCATACATCTTTCTGTGTACAGTGCTTGTAACTTTACCTAGACTGCGCCAAATTTCTTAGCATTTTGATGATGCCAGAACCTTGCAATACACATAAATACTTATATGCTAGATGATCAATTCTTTTCTGATCGATTCCACAACGTTTCTTTCACAATGCAATCGCATGATCAGAACTCAACCTTCTCTTTAAAGGTGTCTAGTGTGGGTGATGTACGGATGTTCCGGGGCAGTTGATACCAGAGGCAGGGTGCATCTGATTAATTTAGCAGACCAACACCTCTTACATACACAGCAAAATATGTTTTGGTGATTAGAACACTTTAAACTTGCTTGCAAATGACTTTTTGAAGAAAAAAAAAATTATATTTTCATCTCGCAAAAGCTAAATCGAGCAGACTAAATGGGTGGTATTATCGAAAGTGGACTAACTTTAGTCCATGGTTTAATCCACCGACTAAGTATGGGATGCCAAGTGACTATATGAATATGTTTTTGAATAATTTAATCTGTGACTAAATTAAAAATAAAATGTAATAACATCATTAATAAACAACGATATAATTATGTTATCATGGTAATTTAGGGACATATCAAATTATTCAAAAATATATTCATATGGACACTTGGCATTCCATACTTAGTCCATGGACTAAACCATGGACTAAAGTTAGTCCGCTTTCGAGAATACCACCCAATGTGATGTAGTAGCACTGCTATAACTTACCTTCCTGTTGTTTTACTCTGTGTTCCACGAGAGCCACCTTGTACTCTGGCATCAGGTCAGGATTCGATTCAACGTCCTTCTTGAAAGCTTTCAAAGCATCCTGTTCAAAGAGTTGAAATAATCAAAATTCAGATACAGATATCCTGAATTACATGAATTCTAAATTTTCAATGAACAGCATATTATAAATATCATCTTTTTAAGCATTGAAATGTCATATGAAGTATGGACTGTCTTAATTGTGTCTCAAAGTATGTGTATCAGTCCTACATCTTATACAGAATATATCATATATATATATATATATATATATATATATATATATATATATGATGTAGGAGTACGACTAGATTCAGTCTACAACACCCTATAAATTAAAGATGCTTGTGACAGATACAGTTTTTCGTACTACTGCAAGTGCATTATTTTGCATAAACACATCCTTTTTCCACTGCGTTTTAAATTCGCCCATCTAAATTACGTCTTTCTCTACTGCAACAGTTTTTACATCTACAATGTACAATATACAAGCACTGCTTTTTATTCGGTTCCTCACATTCTACTTAATCTATCATATGAATTGAGAATCATTGAGACGTTCTCATAATATCAAATCAAATCAAATACTACATGACTTGTGTATATATATACCGGTATATATAATTTTTAATTTATATGTAGGCTATGTCTATATTTTTTTGTAAAATGTGGAACAAATAAAATTTGAAACTTGAACACTAAAAAAAAAAGAGGTATGTTTTGCAATGCTGTGACAAGGGGGGGGGGAGGGGCAAAGTGATGCTTTTCATTTACGTACCTCCTCCATCTGTTTGAGGTAGCCATCAAGTTTCTGGTTGGTTTCATATTGCTTCTGCCCTTTCTTCCGCAGTTCTGCAATCTTGACCTCCACATTCTCCTTGTGTCGCTTCCCTCTCTCATGAAACTCCTTACTCTGAAGTGAAATAAAGAAGATTATTACATTTTCATAGAATTTAACAAAAAATATGACAAGAGTAGAATAGACAAGGCAGCAGCAATATCCCCAAGAATGTGCTCCTCTTGGTCTTCAGCCTCCATTAGCACCAATATCAATGCAGATTCTCCAAATGCATTGTGCAAGCAGACATGGAAAGATTATGTCGCCATCTCAAGGCAACTTAACGTTTTCCATCAAAGATGTCTTAATACGAAGGCAAGCGTGAACACATTCCACATAAAAATGATACTAAATGCTTTAGGATAAAACACTCTTTCATATTAAGATGTATAATAATTTACTGTTCATAGATAACTTTTTTAAGCAATTTTCTAGGTGTAAACTTTATTTTTGACTCACGCTGTATACAGAAAAAGAGTGGGGAAGGCCAGTCATTAATTTTTCATTTTCCAGTATGGGTTTTGACCCTCCCTCCCTCCCCCCATACCCCCCTCTGGGACGTATACCATAATGCTTGATATAATTCTAGGATCATGCATTTTCAACTTACTTCGTCACTAGCCAGGCCCACTCACTTTTAAAGGTAGTCCCACCACCACAGACTTCAAAAACTTACCGATTTGTTATCTGCATACCAACACTTGCAAAAGTCACAAAACTTTCTTGGATTTGACTTCCAAAATTCAGTCCTAATAGATAAAAGGGAAGAATAAAGATGAATTAAACTAACAGACCATTAGATTACTTCACTTTTGGTTTCATAAAATTAAACAAATACGTTATCAGCTTTCAGCAACATGTCTTTTTAAACTAAACAGATGGCTTCTTCATAAGTCAGCATCTAATGAGCACCACAAAATCTGCCTTTCTTGTACGCCGCAATGGTACATGATAATTACAATAGCGTCTTTTTACAGTTGATAGCTTTTTTCATAAAGTCAGCATCAAATGAGCACCACAAAATCTGCCTGTTTTGTACACCGCAACGGTACAGCACTACAGGAGAATTAAGAAGATAGTGATAGTGCCGCACACAGAACAGGGAGACTAATTACTAGCTATTTTCTCCGGAATCCAGCTACAATACAAGTGTGCCCTCACTTTTTCTTAAATCTAGAGTCTAGACAAAAGTACAGTTTGATTTTGAAAAAAATGATGATTGGAAAGATGCTAGATGATAGATCTAATTTTCATGAAATCCTAGCCTAGATCTAGTCTAGATAAGACTAAGAGTAAGAGTATGAAAATAAAATTGAAAATCAGCCGGGCCTGGGTCAGCCAGGCACCACGCAACGCCCGTTTGGGATCGCCGGTGGTGGATCGGTGGGCGGAAAATAAATGTTATTAGAAAGTTTGTTTAAAAAATTTGGGCGATGATCGTGCGCACATCGCCATCAGTGGAACATGGGCCGATTACCACACATAGGTGCATTCTATCCTGGCTGTGTATTATTAATACCACTGTACAAAACTCAACTGATTTCACTCAATACCGGTACTTTAGTGACGATTGATGACACCTAAATAGCATTAAAATACATTTTTTAAACTTTTCGATGTATAATTAAAGAATTCAACTTGTGAGTCCACTGTCAAACTTGCCAATCAGCCGCATCAGCATGATTGTGTGCATCTGTGTTTTATGAGGGTATTGACCATTCACATATTTAAATGCTGCCTAGACTATAAGTATTAACACGCAGTGCAGTGCAAGAGCCTAGAGGTCAATACGCGCTACGCATTACTTTCTGGCCAGGCAGCCCTCTTGGTCACCGTAGGGCCGACCGGCGGAAGGCAAAACCAAGGCTTAGCTTAGAGAGTCTAGGCTAAGCTTAAGGAATATGAAAATATGCACACATCAAATTAAATGATACGGGACCGAAGTGAAAGCCTCCGGAAAAATAAAGGTACGTAAGTTTGTCTAAATGCTAAATTTCATATAAAAGATACTGAAGTTGTTTTTTTTATAAATATTGCTTGATGCAAGCTATAATCATTGAATTCATTCCAGATACTAAATAAGCATACAAATCAACAAACTTACATGGTTAGAATAGGGCCCTTGGAATAGAGACACAGCTTCGTTGTTTCGGTTGTTGTTGTTGTGTTTTGAGTTATTGGCGATTAGTCAGTGATTTGACTATTGTCGCCAAATTACTTTACGGCACGTGTTATATCTCTCAATTTTGGATTTTTTTAAAAATACATTTATTTCGTTTTATATTTATCTATCTTTTAAGATAGTATCGTAAAATAATATCGTAAGCAAAACATTCATGGGCTTTGTTAGTGTTTCTTAACAGTACGTGCAGATTATTTGTTATATCACATATAGTAGGAGACCAGTCTGTAGGTCCCGTGACCAATCTCTGGGAACAAAGGTTTGAAAGTGTTTTTGTGTTCCCTGATGAATACCGAACAATTTTGACTTGGGCTGCCCCCTTGAAAATCCCAGGCATTTTCGTGAGGGGTCATCAAAGGTCACACAGGGATAGAAATTCAAATAGTTTCAATCGTGTCAATATACATATCATATTACTCGTCTGGTCATGAGGATTCCAAAAATGTATAGTTTACTATACCTCCGACCTTAAATGAGGGCGCTATGGTAAAAAACGTTGAAAGGTCAACACACTTTTGACTGGTGGTCACATTCACCAACACAGTGAACCTTATCAAATTGCATATCAAATTACTCGTCTGGTCGTAAGGATTCCAAAAATGTATAGTTTGTTATACCTCCGACCTTAAATGAGGGCGCTATGGTCAAAAATGTCAATGCACTTTAGAAATTCACCAACACATTTAACATTGTCCGATTCTAATGATTTTAGGGTCTAATAATATGTTTTCTGACATGGCAAATTCAACTATACAACTTTCAAAAGTAAAAGTGCTTACCTTGACCATGTACATTCAAAATGGCTGCCGTTTCGGTGACAAACATCTAACAACTTCTTAGCCATGGGTTTGGGGGAAATTTCAAGGTTATGGCAACTACTTTTGATTTTAAAAGTTGCTTAGTTGAACTTTTTCTGTCAGAAAACATATTATTAGACACTAAAATCATTAGAATCGGACGATGTTAACTGTGTTGGTGAATTTCTAAAGTGCATTGACCTTTTGACCATAGCACCCTCATTTAAGGTCGGAGGTTTAAAAACCTATACATTTTTGGAATCCTTATGACCAGACGAGTAATTTGATATGCAATTTGATTAGGTTCACTGTGTTGGTGAATTTGACCACCAGTCAAAAGTGTGTTGACCTTTCAACGTTTTTGACCATAGCGCCCTCATTTCAGGTCGGAGGTATAGCAAACTATACATTTTTGGAATCCTCATGACCACACGAGTAATTTGATATGCATATTGACACGATTGTAACTATTTGAATTTGTATCCCTGTGTGACCTTTGTTGACCCCTCACGAAAATGCCTGGGATTTTCAAGGGGGCAGCCCAAGTCAAAATAGTTCGGTATTCATCAGGGAACACAAAAACACTTTCAAACCTTTGTTCCAAGAGATTGGTCACGGGACCTACAGGCTGGTCTCCTACTAATACACACCATACATAAAATAAGATAGCACCTACACAAGCTTCTATATTCAGTAATCTTATCATACCTTTTATCATTGTTGTTACTTTTTCTTATTTTATTTTCTTAATACATTATGTTATTATATTTTTAATGTACTGAGTGTAATTTAACATATTTATAATATCGTATTATGTTTTACTGTTCTTATTTTATTTTCTTATTACATTATGATTGTTATTATATTTTTAATGTACTGAGTGTAATTTAGCATATTATAATATTGTATAATGTTTTACTATTCTTATTTTATTTTCTTATTACATTATGTTATTATATTTTTAATGTACTGAGTGTAATTTAACATATTTATAATATTGTATTATGTTTTACTGTTCTTTTTTTATTTTCTTATTACATTATGTTATTATATTTTTAATGTACTGAGTGTAATTTAGCATATTTATAATATTGTATTATATTTTACTGTTCATCAAGGGAGGTATTACTTCCTGATAGGGAACCGTTTCGTTCTGAGAAAGAACCGTACAATAGCTTTTTGTATACTGGACTCACTCTTTTTTAAGTATTCCATAATTTTTTCAGGTTGGGATTCGTTAATTTCTGTTAGAAACATAGCCCTTTCTATAATATAGTTAGGGCAATGTACTAAAAAATGTTTTACAGTCTCTATTTCACTGGGGCATCTATTACAGAAACCAGTAGCATGAATTCCCAATCTGAGGAGATCCTGGTTAAGTCCAAGGACTCCAAAGCGGAGTCGATGTATTATTGTTGAATGTTGTCTCTCTAATGAGCATATATATGGTTTATTAACATCTTTTTGATATGTTTTCAAATACGAGTTGGTTTTGTTCCACCTTTCTTGCCAAAGGAGTTTGGAACTTGTAGTAATTAAGCTTTTCATTTCTGACATATTTAGGTTATTATTGACTTCTATTTTCTTTACTAATGCGGCCTTTGCGTGGAAATCCGCCATCTCGTTCCCTTTTATTCCACAATGTCCAGGTATCCACTCTACATATATATCAACTCCTTTATTCTTTAAGTGAGTAGTCATGGTGAGAATTTCCAGAATAAAAGATTCGTCCTTCTGTTGTTGTAATGCAATAAGTGCACTCAGTGAATCACTAAAAATAACAACCCCCACATAAATGTCTAATTCATCTACCCATCTGAGAGCAAGAATGATGGCAGCCAATTCAGCCCTGTACGAAGAGGTGAAATTTGCTAACCTTTTGCTCCGATGTACAGAATAGTAAGGGACGTAAAAAGCAGCTGCAGAGGTCCCTCTTTCAGGTACTTTTGATCCATCGGTGTATATATGTAATTGAGTCGCCCATTTAGTATGTATGATTTCCAGGCTGCTTTGTTTTTGTTGTGTAGGATGATCTGTTTTCTTTATTCGAGTACTTAATTCCGTTGACACTGCCGGAGGGTAGAATAACCATGGTGGAAATGGGGAGTAGGTTATCGTTTCTATACGTTTTCCCAGCTTGCTTTGTATTCTATATCCAAAAGGTTTGTTTACGTTTTTCCCCTTCAAGTATTCAAAATGCCAACATGGTTCAATGTTTTTTAACAACGGATGATTCGCCCATCTTTCGATGTTTTGTCTATATTTACTTGAAAGCATTTGTCTTCTTATATCCAAAGGCATTTCCCCCATTTCCACCTGTAGTGATTCTAAGGAGGTTAATGGCAGTCCACCTGCGCATATCCTCAGTGCTTGGTATTGGACAGAGTCAATGGCTTTTTTGGTGGTAGCAGCTGCACTGTCATACGCCTCACATCCGTAATCAAAAAGAGACCTTATAATTGCTCTGTACACCATGATAAGTGATTTCGAGGAACTTCCCCAGTTTGTTCCAGTTAGACATCTTAAGATATTTAATTTTCTTTTACTTCTCGTGATTACATTTTCGATATGTGGTTGCCAAGTTAACCTTTTATCAAATATAACCCCTAAAAAGCGATGAGATTTTTCGTACATTAACACATTTCCATTCAGTTCTATATCAGGCGGTAGAACGGCATTCCAGCTTTTCGTAAAAAGTACGGGCACTGTTTTGACAGGTGAGAGTCGAAACCCCCACTCTTCAAACCAACGATTTAAAAGATTCAAATATTTCTGTATTTTTTCAGTAATATGTACAATGTTCCTGCCTGATATCCATATTGCGCAGTCATCTGCATACATAGATATGCTTACATCTTGGTCTGTAGGTATATCACCCATCATTATATTATATAAAAGAGGACTTATAACACTCCCTTGTGGTAACCCGTTATGCGTTTTATAAGTTTTAGATTCTGTATTTCCAATTCGTACTTGAAAAGTTCGTGCTGTTAGATAATTTTCTATATATCTCAGCATGTTCCCTTCTATTCCATTTTTTGCTAATTTAAAAACCAGACCCTTTATCCAAACTGTATCGAAAGCCTTTTCGACATCCAAGAAAACCGCTATTACATGTTCATTACAATTTATACTCTTTTGGATGTCATTTTCTAATTGTACAATATTGTCCGTCACACTACGACCTTTCCTAAATCCACTTAAAAAATTGGGTAATAATTCATGCTTTTCAACATACCATTGTAATCTTTCTTTTATCATTCGTTCAATTATTTTGGCAAAACATGATGTTAAAGAAATTGGTCTATATGACGATGTATTTCTGGGATCTTTTCCATGTTTGAGAATAGGGATTATTATAGAATGCTTTAGTTGAATTGGAATTTCCCCGGTTTTCCATATTAAGTTAATAATGTTCAGCATGATTTCCTTGTTTGCTTTTGGCAGATTTTCATAAACAACGTAAGGTATATTATCTTTTCCTGGGGCAGTCTTTTTTCGCGATTGCACTGCCTTTTCAAATTCTGTTATAAAAAAGGGTTCATTTATAACATGATCTACATTTAAAATATGAATGTCATTATTTGGTGCCTTCGGTAATTCCTTATTAGTATCCCTGTCTTTTATTCCTATTTTTTGAAAGTAATTTCCAAAGGCATTTGCTTTCTCCTGATCGGAGACAATATCTTTACTATTTACAATCAATGTTGACATATTTTTTGTTTTTTTTATTAGTACACCATTCAGCCGTTTTATACAAGCCCAGATCTTAGATTCTGGCATATACTGATCAAGCTTTGTGCAAAATGCTCGCCAGTAATTTCGTTCTGCTTGGCGGAGCACACGCTGTGCTTCTGCTTTCTTTTTTAAGTACTCATCTACCTTTTCAAAAGTTATTTTCCGTGACATCTTATTACACATTCTATTTCTCTCTTTGATTTTCTCTGTACATTCTTTGGTCCACCAAGGCACCGGATTTTTAGAGACATTTCTCCTTTTCGGTACAGTTTCTTTTATACACAGTTTTAAATATTTCATGAAATTATCATATATTTCCTGTATATCATTATTTATAAGTATGAGATCATTTGTAATCATCTCTTCACATTTCTTAGCAAATTTTTTCAAATTT